AAGTTGAATAGAACAAGCACATTTCTTGAGTATTTGTACATGCTTTGGGTTTGGGATAAATTCGCTCTGCATTAGAAGGCCTAGCAGTGGGAGGAAAAGGGAAAGTTGCCCTGGCTTCTGCTCCTGGAGTCAGGTCCCCGCAGCAGAGGGGCTGAGGCCCTGTCACACATGTCCTTGCTTTATGCCACACCTCTCCCCCAGTGTGGGTATTCTCAAAGGCTGAGTGTCACACAAAGCATTAATCCTCAGCAACCGAGGAGCACACATTTCAACCTCCTTGAAGCCTCCTGTCCCTGATGGGACCACACCCAACCCCCACTCCCCCCAGAATCTGCCAGTGAGGCCCCAAGAACTGATTGGCCAGATCCCCTAAGCTCTGCCCACTTGGAGGGAAGAAGACTAGGAGATTCACCTGGAGCAAGGCTCACAGAAAATTTTTTAGCCCATTTGTAAGGCACAGGGGAGTTTGAATTCTAATTTTAAGTAAAAGAAACCAAGTTTGCACATGCAAAATCTATAGCCCATAAAAGCACAAGTGTAGCCATATTCCCACATTTTCCTGGTGGGCTGTGCAATGGTCCAGCTTGGGAGAGGCAGTGAGATGTTCTCCCCTCAACCCACTTTCTCAGCAGGACTGCACACCTCACCCCACTGGCAGAGCAAGGGCTATAACCCATGGAAAGAATCTGACTCTTTCCCCAAAGTCCACTGTGACCAGGCTAGGCCTGAAAAGTGGAGGGGGTCCCAGTAGGATGCTCCTGACCTCGGTCCAGGTATTTGATGGGTACAACAGAGAGAGGGAGGGACAAGAGTTAGTCACCAGAAGAAAACAAGTGCTTGGCACTTCAAAACAGCCTTTCCAAGCCCCATTCGTGGGACAGTAGGCAGAGAACTTGAGAGGGAGTCATCAAGCCTCAGAAAGGGGCAGACACAAAGAACAAGAAGGAAACAGAAGGTGATGGGGCCAAAATGTGCCAAAATCAAACCAGGCGCTGCAGTGCAGTGCCAGTTCAGCCCTTGGCCAGCTCTTGGGAAGAGACATACCTGGCACCCTAGGGCCCCCCCCCCCAACCCAAATGCCCATTAGAGCTGGGTCCTAAAAGGGCTCAGGGAAAACCAGGCCTTGCAGAAATTCCCAAGAGGCTTTTGCACTAAGATAGCCAAGAGCCCAGAAAGGGAGAGAGGTGGTTTAGCACAGCACAGCCATTTCCCTCCAGCACAGCCAACACAGGCAGGCGCACAGCTACAGTCGGCTGTGCACACACGTGCAACACGGGCTCCCGTGGGCCGCGCAGGCATGCACACAGCCTTCTTGTGTGTGCGTTCATAGATAGACTCTCCCAGTTGGTGGACACGCACACTCTGCAACCTCTCAGATACATAGGAACCTCCACATAAGGGACAAGCACCAACTCACAGCCTTGGAAGATACTCACACCTCTGTATTAAGTGCACCCCAACCCTTATAATCTCAGTTGGCATGTGGGCACACACGGCCCACAACCTGTCATGTGCACACACACCCTGATCACCTGCACACACAAAACCCACCAGGGCACAAGCACTCACAAGCTGGAACAAACACACTCAACTTCTTCATGTCAATCATAAACTCAGACTGTCAGGGTCACCCCCACACACTCAGGGCCCCTCCAGAGATGCACACACACCCGCACACCCACTCTCACCCGCACTCCGCCGGCACAGGCACAAGCACACTCACAGCTTCCCCTCGGGCGCACCCCCACACCCACGCACCCACTTGCCCGGCGCACCCCTCCCCCAGGCCTGAGCCTGGCTCCCGGCGGCAAACTCCAGCGTCCTGGGGTGTGCCTCCGCCCCCGGCCCGCCAGCCCGCGCCCCTCCTCACCTTTTTCGCCAGAGCCCGGCGCGCGGCCCTCGTCCTCCTTGGGGTTGGTCACCTGGGTGATGATGGCCGGGCCGTCCATGGGTGCGCGGCACGG